ATCTCAGATTTTTAGCTATGTGTTTGTTTGTTTTTTAACCAAAGCATTCACCAATTAGTTACCTGTTTTGCCATAAAATAAATTCCAACAAATGTGTATCCCAGAAGTATTTTTTTTTCTTGTTAGTTTTTCAGAGAAATGGTGCAAAGTGAGTTTAAAGGACTCATTGTCTGTCCTCCAGTCTGTATCCTTCACCTTGTGATGCAACTCTCCTTCCATCTTCATTTTTCTGCTCTGTCACTCTGTAAATCTATTCAGTCATGCCTGCTCAGTCAACTTACCTCTTCTGTTTTTGAGTTCCCCCAAGACTTGACCTGAATAGAAACACCAAAATGGAGGCAAAAATAGGAAAACAGAAAGTTCCGATGCTGCTTTACAATAGAAGTCATGTACGTTGACAGATATTTTGCTGTGTTATACTTTACAATGCATCTGCTTATAGACTAACACTGAACAAAGTGAATCAGAAGGCCAAACTATGTGTATAATATGCATTGTAGTAAGAAAGTAAAAAATTAGATATTTTTTTATGTTTATTTTTCATGTACAATCATACTTTTACATCTGTTAATAGAAAGACAGATTTTTTGGTGCCCAACTAAATACAATATTAGATACTATACATGAAAAGTAAAATGTGTAACACATTAAAGCTTGCTTACTGCCCAAAGTAAAATACATGATTTTAATTGTTGGGTCTCTTTGTTAAAAAAAATGGATTAAAACATGGCACAGTTGTGATCGCCACAAAAAAATGTATATGTGATCAATGATACCGCTGTATGTGATTACTGTTCAAACACAGTATATGAACAGTGAGGTGATGCTAGCTCTAGTTCAATGATACTATATCAGAATGCTGTCCTACAAGACCCGTGTTCTGCACCTAATAGACCGGTTACTGCTTAAACGCACCTAAATCAATAAGTAGGTCTTTCGCAGGACGCTGCATAACCTGACTTGAACTGAGAAGATACAAAATTGAGCCATTTGATTGAGATTTCTTGAAGTTGCAGGATACTATCAAGGACTTAAGTTGAAAATTCATACTTTAGTGTGTTTAAGCAGTGGTGGTTTACATTCCTTTTCTCTTGCATTTTTTTTTTTTAGTATTCTGGTAAAAGAAGACATTTTTTTTTCTGGGTTGTAGGGGCTCTGTAACAAATAAAAATTTAAATCCACACTAAAACAGAAAAAAAGGAAACATCAGTTTACTATATAGAATCAAATGAAACAATCCAATCAATCGCAGTATTGTATTTAAGCACAGCTAAACCCAATGTCACAGAACTAGAGCAGCAGATTTAAGGTAGACTACTTTCAGCATCTAGGAGTGGAGTTCAACATCTGCTGCTTAAAAACCCAGATGCTTAAAAACCCTAGTGGAGTAACCACACTCTCATGCTTTGAGCTGCTTGGTTTCCCTTGTATAAACGTGGTTTAGCTTTAAAGTTCATCCCTTTTAAAATTAAACTGACATAGTAGTTTCTAACAATTTTTTATGAAACTTTGTTTGATAAAGTCACACTGTTTTACAATTGTCATTTGGGAAATTCTACACCCTGTCATTGCAAACTTAAACCTATTTCATTTCAATCATAATCCTTAGTCCTGTAGAAAAGTAGCGAAGATTACAATCTTACATATTCTGCTTCGGTGTTTCTTAATATTTAGAATGCTGCACAGTAATAACCTTACAAAGCCTGTGGCATTTTCATGCGATAAGAGGCGAAAATCTTCAGTGTAGAAAATCCTTCATCACATGTAACCTAATGATAAAGATATCATACCACCCGAACATCTTTATGCACTTTTTAATTCTCCAATACAGATTTCCTCTGCTACATTGCACGGCCACTCTTACATAATCTAACAGAGGTAATCTGAGACCTGCATGGAATTTGAGTATATTCTACACCTATATTCAAACTGAAAAACATTTTAGAGCATGACAGTGTCAGTGTCATTCAATACAGGGATGTTATTGAGAACAGGATTTTATAATCAGATGTATTCAATGGGATATGGAATATTGACACTGTAAAGAAAATGTCTTTGATGGTCAACAGAAAAAAAGTTGTTTAAACTGCAAAAGATCCAAAAATCAATCCATTATTAAGACTTTCTGGTTCATTTTGGTTTGGTTTTTGCATCAACCTGGTCTTCAGGACATGCATTTGCAGTTTCAAAAGCTCATATGATATATGCACAGCATAAAAGAGGGTTCTGTCAATCCGGCAGCACTTCCGGCTGGATAGCAGTCCAAGCACATTTTCCAATGTTTAAAATTCCTTATTGCTTTGTTTCAAAATAGATTCCTATGAAAGCCAAATATCCAGCAGACAATAAGGCTGTCAAACCGTCCAAATATGGAAAGATTATATTCAGTAATTAGAGAAACTGTCTAATAAAGTGAGCATACTGAGAAGTTGATTGACGAAAGCTGTAAGTGACTGAATGCCTGGCATGCCTATCTATGCTTATCTGCATAAATGTCTCCAAGGCTAATTAAATCCCCTGGCAAGTGAGCACAATTTAACATGACAATCTGGCTTTTTAAAATGCTGAATTGATGGAGGATCTGGTTGGCAGGTTGAATGGATAACTGGACAGAGGCAGGTTTGGTGTTTATTGGAAGGCCAACTGGACTGGATAACAACTTCTATCCATCTTTTTAGCTCCCGTCGGAATGTGTTCCGTCTCTTATCAGCCCATACCATTTGCTTCAACAGAGCTTGGTTGCCTTTTTAACCCGGCCATTCTCTCTCTTAAGGCCTGTTTTTTATGTGATCTCCTTTGTTGCTGGGCTTTCTTTCTCCAGATTTTTTAAGATATATTCTTTCTTCAAACTGTTATAAAACACCTCTTTCTGTATCTTTTTTTCTTCTTTTTCTAAAAGTAAATTTGGTTTAAATTTTTTGATCGTCCATCCTCAAAGTTTTAAGAGAGCATATGCGTTTAAAAAAATGTTTTTATCATTTTTCTTCAATGTCCTCTATCAGCCTTCTTTAACTTTGGCCGTACTACTTCTCATCTTGTATTCTCTTTTCTCTGCTTATTAAAGGCCTCACACTGAATAACGATGCCAGTTTGAGCGCCCCATAGATTACATTTTCCACTCAATAGCATCACATCAATTCACTTCAATCAGTCATACAGAAAAAAAAAATCTGAGAACAAAACTAAAGCAAAGGATGTAGAGGGTTTGCAGATAACTGGTCTTGACTCTAACATTTTTTTCCTTTCATATCAGTTTTATACATAAATCTTTAAAATTTCTTACATTTCTCCAACTGAAAAGTATTTCCCAAGTCTAATTATGAAAATTCACCTAGTTGCTCTTACATATTTCAAAGAAATCAAGATTATATTTTTTATCATCAAACCTCATTCCATTAGAATATTAACTTATACTGTAGCTTTTATTTGATCATTTATTTAAATCCTTATTCACTTGTTGGAATTAGGCAAACTAATTGTGTATATATATATATATATATATATATATATATATATATATATATATATATATATTACTACAAAAATAATATTTATCAATTGTAAAACTCACGTCTTCCAGCTCAAGATGGTCATGAGATCATTAATAATTTTACTTTAGCTGGTCTATTAGCAAGCTTATTTTTGCAAACCCTGTATCCCAAATCTGATTTTTTTAAAATAAATAAAAACAGACATGTTAATGACAAAATTCTTTTTTTTTTTCACATGTCAAACATTTTACGTAAGAAAAACATATATCTTAAGACAAGAAATAGTGGGACAGCAGTTTAACTTTGGTTAAATGCATGACAAAATCCAGCAGAGTTTGATGACACTCCCTCTAGTTTTACAGGCGTTTTTTTTTTTTTTTTTTTTTACAAATGAAAGTCATAAAATATTTTTTAAAAAGTGATTACATGGCGAGGTATTAGCAATCCCTATCAGGAATAAAATAAACTGATCTTTCTTGTTTCTGTTGGGGTTTCTCTCTGTAACATTGTTTTGATCTTGCAGTATGTCTGGCTTTAAGCTAAACTTGTTTATATGTAATTAGATTTTTCCTGCTTGAGGATCCACTGGATGATTCAATAAAGATCTTTGTCAGTGGAATTTCACTGCTCATTTGACCCCTTTTTAAACATATTAGAGGGTAATTCTTCATTGATTAATCTGCACTTGTTTGGAATGTGAAACAATTTCCTGAATGAACTATTCAATCCACAGCATGTTATCTATTTCTGTGTGTTTTATTACCCTCATAAACTGTTTCATGGTTTAGGAGTGTTGGGTATTGCAAAGGCCTGTTTGTTTAATTAGATGAGATTAGTCTCTTGATTAAAATGGGCTTGATAAGATTTTAATAGGCTTGCTTTCATGTGGATTACAGTGTGAAAGCCTCAAGCTTAACAACATACAGTAACTCAGTGCTCCTGAAAGATGTGCTTGTAATTTACAAGTCTAAGTCTTTACTCTTTATAAAACTTTTCATGCAGTGATGTTTGTCTTTGTTTATTTCTCTTTTCCTCTAATCTTTACCTGCATGTACAAAAAAACTGTCAACCTATTACTGCACATGTGAGTGCACTTTTCTCTGTAGCTTTTCTCCTGTCATTTTGTCTTCCCATGTTTCTAGTCTGAGAGCAGTGTAAATGATCCAAAGATCATGTGATGGAAATGACAGGAACTAAAGATGTGAAGCATCTGTCTTATAAAAAAAAAAAAAATGTCTAATTTAAACTCAGATTAATAATCTACTCAGTTTAGGTATCAATTGCAGTAGCTTTTTCATCCATTTTTTTTTTCAGAGATACACCAAATTTAATCATATCCTTCCCTTAATTCTTTACAACATTGACATTTAAATATATACATTTTTCTAAGTGTGTTTTTTTTGTCCACATGTGCACACTTTAACATTGCTTTTCTGGCTACCTTTTCTTTTGTTTTGATGCATTCCTCCAAACAGCTGTCTTTCTCCCCTTATGCTGATCTTTTTTTAGGAAGGTCCATATGTGATGCTGAAGAAGAACTGGGAGCTTTACGAGGGTAATGACCAATATGAGGGATACTGCGTGGACTTGGCTTCAGAAATTGCTAAACACATCGGAATCAAGTACAAGATCTCGATTGTTCCCGATGGAAAATATGGTGCCAGAGACCCGGAGACTAAAATTTGGAATGGAATGGTGGGAGAGCTTGTTTATGGGGTAAGGATGACAATAAGACAACTTTATCCTGAATTCATTCTTAAAATAACAAAAATCTATCACTGTTGTTTTAATGAAATACATTGTATTAAAGCGCATTTTCATAAATCCAAATATTACTGAAAGGGTTTTTTCAGCATCCATCCTTCCATCCATTTACTTTCACGCTTATCTCGGGTGGGGTTACAAGGGGTGCTGGTGCCTATGTTCAGCTGTCAATGGGCGAGAGGCGGGGTACACCCTGGACAGGTCGCCAGTCCATCGCAGGGCAACACAGAGACAAACAGGACAAACAACCAGTCACACACACACTCACACCTAAGGACAATTTAGAGAAACCAATTAACATAACAGGCATGTTTTTGGACTGTGGGAGGAGTACCCGGAGAGAGCCCATGCATGCTCAGGGAGAACATGCAAACTCCACACAGAAAGACCTCCTGCTGGGAATCGAACCCAGAATCGTCTTGCTGCAACGCAGCAGTGCTACCCACTACACAGCCCGTTTTTTCAGCAGTTTCATTCAAAACGTAATGCTCATATATACAGTATAGCCATTATGCACAGAATTTTATATTTTAACCTATTATATTTTTCAATCCCCAGTTGCAGCCAGTGTTATAAGATCCATGCACCAACCTTTGTTTCAGTATTATCACCTAGTCGTCCACGTTAAGCCACTACAGATCAAGAGAAGCATACTCACTCACCTATGCTTAGCTGAAAAGGATGGAACATTTGCTTAGGGTGACAAAGTCCTGTTTTTAGATTAAACACATTTTGCATCTCATTTGAAAAATCAAGGTCAAAAAGTCTACAGTTTAGAGGCAAACAATGTGATTTGCTTGAGGTGAAAAGGAAAGTATTTACTGGGGTGACAGTTGAGAGTGCCGGGGTCCGTCCTGAAATCGGAGGGTGGCTAGTTAAAAACCCAACTCAATCCATTTCAGTCGTTGTGTCTGTGGGCAACACACTTAACTAGCATTGCCTACTAATGGGGTCAGAGGAGTTGGTGGCACCTGTGGGTGGCAGTATTACCTCTATCAGAGCGCCCCGAGGCAGCTGTGGCTAAAATGCAGCTCACCACTATCAGTGTGGGAATTTGTGTGTGAATGGGTAAATGACCGAATGTTGTGCTCAGCTATTTAAAGTCCTATGACTTGAAAGAGCGGCATATAAGCACAGGTCATATAAGAGTTGCTGGTGATTTGGGGAAAACATGTCATCTGTTGTTGTTGGTTCACTTCTTTTTTCCAAAAGTCAACATAACCATCAACCAGAAAATAATTTTGAGCTGCAGATGCTTCCTTGACAAGTATCACTGAGAATGTGACCTATCCAGGTGGTCGTATCGCCAATAAACAAAAGATTGTGGTACTTGATTAGCTAGTGAAGTGACTTGACTTAAACCATACAGAGAATCTACATAGCATTGTCAAGATGAAGATAAGAGGTAAAAATGCAGAATGGTATTGCTAAAACAACCTGGCCATCCTTAACACCTTAGCAGCACCAAATTATTTGATTGCCTCAGAGCTAAAGGAGCCAGACCAAGTGCTTAAAACAATTCTGTATATTATGTGGATTGATTTTTAAGTAGAATGCCTTTTAAGAATTGAACATTGTTTTTATTCATCCTACGTATAGAATTGCAATTCTCTCAATATTAATTTATTTTGCAAACATGAAGAGGATGGCTTTGATATCAGCACCAGTATGGGACAGGATCATTTCAAACATGTTAACCTTGGTACAAATATCTCTTTCATATATAAGAGAAAAATGCAAAAAAAAACATAAAGAAAAAAATCATTGCAGTACATTAACTTGTCTCAATGCTTCTGTATCCTTAGTAACCATGTTCAGTTCCCACAGAGATGCTGTGTCATGGAGTGGTTATTTATAACTGGGGGTTTTGCCAAGCTCGTTAATTACGCCTTTGATTTCACATAGCTGCTGAAATGTCAGCTCTACTGACATGAGGCAGACATTGTCAGTTGTTATTGTTTAGGAGAGTGAAAGCACAGAAGGGGTTTCAGAACAGTAGCTGAATCAATTACCCTCCACAACTCTAAATGAAAGGTACCTTAACGCCTTTGTATGGATTTATCTGTTCTAAATCAAACCACGGCTGCACAGTGCTGCACTTTGTAGCACTGTTGCCTTTTGGGTTCGATTCCTGGTGCAGGTTCTTTCTGTATGGAGTTTGCACGTTCTCCAATTACTTCAGCTTACTCCTACTGTCCAAAAAGATGACTGTTCTTAGGTGTGAGTGTGTATGTGCATGGTTGTGTGTCCCTGTATTGCTGTGCAATGCTGGCCACCTGCCCATAGACTGGTGGAAATAGGCACCAGTCCCTCCATGACCCTGACAGATCTAGCGGGAGAAGATTGATGGATGGATGAATCCGCGCCAGACATTCACTCTCCTTTAAAAGGACTCTCAAACACTGTACTTCAGCTAAAATATACACATATATTTTCTTGTAAATTCATTGATTTGAGATTTAAGGGAATTACGTTAGAGATAGGGTGAGGAGCTCGGTGAGGAGTTCGGTCATCTGGGAAAGGCTTATAGAGACTTTTCTCCACCACATCAGGAGGAGTTAACAGATGTAGCTAGGACATCTGTTTTGGATGCTCCCTGAACGCCTTCCTCAGGACGTGTTCCAGCGACGTCCCACTGTGAGAAGGCCCGGAGGACAGCTCAGGGACTATGTCTCTCGGCTGGTCCTGGATCACCTTGAGCTTCCTTTGGAGAAGCTAAAGGAGATTTTTGGGGAAAGGGAAGTCTATGAGTCTCTTCTCAGACTGCTGCCCCCTCAACCATCTAACGCAAAAGTGGAGACAATCAGTATAGACACTTTCACATGCCTTTAACATTTCTTTACAGGTTCTGTGATGTATGTTCTCTAGTGGCTGCTGATGTTATATTGATTTTCTTAGAATAAATATGCCAAAATACTTAATACTTTAGTTGTACAAACACTTTGCCTTTACTGCAAAAGCAAACAGTATCGGAATTTGTGCTGCCAGTGCAAATGTCTATTAATGTTAGCCTATTATTATTTTTTAAAGTGAAAATATGTTTACATGCACACAGAATCTCTTTCCGTCATATGCTATTAAAACAATGCCTAGTTAGTGGTCACAATACTGCCAAACTTATTGCAAGTGAGTTTGTTGCTGACCTTCAAACGTGCAAAAAAACCCACATCAAATACAGTAAGGCCACAGTTGAGTTTCAGATTTGTAAAATCACTTTGCATGTGGTAAATATTTCAGTTTTCATGTCCCCCACCCATCAATTTGCATTGTTTGGTCATTAAATATGATCTATATGCATATTGATGATGGCAGAAAAAAGTTTGCCTATCAAGTTGTGTGCACAAATTTCCCTTTCCTCAACTTTGAAGATCTACTCTGCATGTGCAAACAAATATGCACTAGTTTTTAAGATGCACAAACCTTTTGAAGATCAGGCCCTTGGTGTTTTGTCGCTGTTTTGTAGATGAAGGTATGCCTACAGTGCCAATGCCATGAAAAACAGGTGATATGTTTGTGCCTTTGAGCCAAGATTCACTTGTCCCCTCTGTTTCCAGGCAAACATAGCAAGAGCAATAATGACAATGTTCTCTGCCTTTTGAATTCTTAACATTTATTTAAATAAATGTATATCAATATGTGTGGACAGTACAGCAAAACCTCACATCAGAATGTGTGCAAAAAGCTCCAAGAGTTTTTTGCGGTTTTTTCGGTCCACTATAATTAAATAAAACCTGCTTTTATTTCCAGGTTCATAACTAGAAAATTGTCTGGATTAACGTTTATGCATGTTTGAAACCCAGAGATAACTGAATTTGCTGGACTTTATTTGAACAGATCCTGAACTCTTTGTGGAAGAGTTTCTTGATATGAAGGGGAAAGCCGTTTTTCTTTTTACATGTTATGAATGCTGGCGTACCATAAATGATAAATTATGAACAGTTTAGTTTGTGCCTTAAAGTCGTTGCCCATTGGAAGACGTTACTTGGATATAACCTAACGGAATATCTTCAGAACAGCTCCAAATGACAAAAAACTCATATGAGTGAGTAGAACATGATGCAATAACTTAAAATCAAGGGCCCAATGTAAAAAAAAATAGGCGTTCCCCTTTAAGTTTTCTACCACTGACAGTTAGGCCGTACAACACTCTGAGGCATCAAGATAATATGAACTTCAGCAGTATGTGCTATTCTGCAGTTTTAAGAGCAGGGTTCAGGCACATGAGGATGAATGTTATAGGGTTTGAAGTCATTGTTTATTTTTCATGACTGAGAACTCTTCACTGTATACAAACAAAAAAAGTTATTCAAACAAAAACAGCATCCAAAACATCAGTTCATCTTCTCATGAATATTCAGTATTAGCTGGAGTTTTACAGATTAAAGTGAATCTTTCAAACCAGTTACAGTTATGCAAAGCAGAATATATCATATCATTACTTTTTATCACTTTCTTTAGCTGCAATATTAGACACCTAGAGGACCTGAGTTCTGCATAAACAATCTGCGTTGTATGCAGCGGCTAGTTAGTCCTTGCCACCTAATTTATATTCGGGATGTGTCCCTCTCAGACCAACATACTGTATAAATTACCCCAGTGTCATTCTAGCTTGCCCTCTTCTTCCTCTATGTCTTTTAACCTTCTCTCCTCCATTTATTCTCTCATTCGCAATGCCAGTTCATCTCTGTTTTTCCTTTTCACTGTGTTCACTTCACGCTCCTTTTCACTTATCTGTAGTAGATGTAATCTCTGAGAAATTAATTATTCAATAATGTGACTGATAAGAACTTCCTGGCCTTTCCCTCCTTTTTTTGCAGAAAGCAGAAATTGCTGTGGCCCCACTGACCATAACATTGGTGCGAGAAGAAGTGATTGATTTCTCTAAACCCTTCATGTCTCTTGGAATCTCCATCATGATCAAAAAGCCTCAGAAATCTAAACCAGGCGTCTTCTCCTTCCTGGACCCACTGGCCTATGAGATCTGGATGTGCATTGTGTTTGCTTATATTGGAGTCAGTGTTGTTCTGTTTTTGGTAAGTAATACATCAACAGAGAGCATCAGCCATCAAGTTAAAATGTGGGACTGTACACATGAGTTATTTAGGAGAATAGATCATATATAAAAGCAGAAGTTTTATATTAAAACTGTGTATATTTTATTTTAGTCAAACACACGGGGCCTTTTTTGACCATCTTTAATTCTTCACAGCTTGGGTTATTTTTTAGACAGTTTTAACTCAAAATATCCAATATATTAAAGAAGAAATCTTTAGGTGAATTCAGAATTTGGTGCAACAGCATAGGAGCAATTAAAGCAGGAAGAGAGGATATATTGGGGAAGGAATATTTTTTGGTACACTTTTGGCCTCATAACACCAAGTAACTATTGCTTACACACCCTGGCCTGCTACAACTTTTTTTTTTTTTTTTTTTTTATGGCTATAATGTAGCAGGTCAAGTACAATCTCAAAAAGCTAAAACCTTCTTAAAAAGAAAAAGAAAAAGTAAATAAACATTCAATGGACTCCAGTGATTTCAACAAACACACAATTTCACATGCTTTGTTTGATTAGGAGTTCTGAAAATTTTGGTGACATATCTGTCAGTTTCACATCAGGTATCAACTTAGTATGGACCAAAATCTCAGAGGAATGTGTCTGAACATGTGGTGAATCTATCCTTGATTTCTGAGATTTAATCAAATTCTTACGTAAAAAGGGGTCTAACTCAGTTCCAACACAATGTGGCTCTAATGGATTTGAAGTGTTTTCCTCCTTCACTATTATTCAAAAAATTAAAATTTTCACTCTGATGAGGCTTGTTTTTCAGATTTAAAATCCCCATTGAAAAGAACATCCATTAGGGAGATTTTTAATTACTATTCAATAAACCCACATTTCCACATTATTTATTTTTTTCATTGGTCTGATCTATAATTCTAGACTTGTTTATGACAAGTCTACATCCAACAGTTGTTATGAACTGGCTCAAAGTCAGAGGTGGGTAGAACACTGAAATATTTAAGTAAAAGTAATTTTATTATATTTTTACTCAAGTAAAAAGAAAAAGTAGCATTTAAAGAAATCACTCACTGAGTAACTGATTTTCTTACTACCCATGATCATGACAACAGATAAAATATTTTTTGAGATATAAAACTTATTAAATCAATAGATACAATGATAGATTCAATTACAGTATACTTTTTTACTGTATTTTCACTCAACCTCCAAATGATGTAGCAGACATCAGAATAGTACATTTACAGTAACTGATCAGCCTTGAGTACATAAATGAAGAAAGTCTCTCTCAATGTAAAAAAAGAAAATTAAAAACGATCCACTGGACTTTGTTTCCAAGTTTGAAGAAGTTTCACTTCCCATCCAGGAAGCTTTTTCAATTCAAAATGTCAGGAACAGTGTTGAGTTCGAGGTTTTATACAGTAGCCCAACAAAGCTTTGTTTTTGTTTTGAAAACATGCAAATTGAAAAGGACAAAGGGGTCCACCCCTTTGGAATGGGAGTCATTTGGCTTCTTTTGTTAGCCTGCAATGGCCCGATCTCTCTTAATGGTGCATATTTGTTTAAACAAGCCTGTTTTTATCAAGTTAAGTTACTGATAATAGATGGAGTAGCCAGACATTTTACTCAAGTAAGAGTAGTGACACTTTATCCTATTTTTACTCAAGTAAGTGTAATTGAGTCAACGTTTCTAGTTTATACCCACCTTTGCTCAAAGTCTATTACAAGAAGGGAGACACACCCTCTATAAGAAATGTGAAATATAGATGTATTCATTACGATCTAAGATTAATAACAACATATTCAATAAGATGTGTGAGAGTCAGTTACAGTGAAGGAAAATATGGGTAGATTTATGACACTCTTCAATAACAGTCAAATTTATTGAATAATAATACTAAAATCTGGAATAAAGGTCAGAAAACTATATGTTGCTATCATTTTACAAAATCCAAGAGAAATAAATAATAATGATGGGTATTCAATACACATTCCCTTCACAGATGCATAATTAGGTCATCATACCTTGTGTGACACCAGCGGGTCTGCATGTTCAGGAAAACCTGCTTATATCAGCCAGCATTGTGTTCTCCAAAGACCTTGAATGCCTAAATACTTTTGTCTAATCTTACCTTATTTCTAACTATGTTAGAACTGCAGCAAGATGACAATATGGACATGTATGATTAAAGTAGAGATAAGTGAAAGTGTTAGAGTGAGTTTATACACACATATATATTTATCATATATATACTGTATATATTCATTATATATATATATATATATATATATATATATATATATATATATATATATATATATATATATATATATATATATATGTGTCTGTTTTGGGCAAGAAGAATGCATGTTTGTCATTTGTCTGACATGATCTTGGAAATTAACTGACACTGTTTCCCACCTATGCTGTTTCAGGTAAGTCGGTTCAGTCCTTATGAGTGGCATGCAGAGGAACCAGATGAGACTGCAGCAGAGCAGGGCCCCACTGATCAGCCTCCCAATGAGTTTGGCATCTTCAACTCTTTGTGGTTTTCTCTGGGAGCGTTTATGCAACAGGGCTGTGACATCTCACCAAGGTTAGTGTGATTGTGACAATTAGGTGTGTGCATTTGTGCTTCGACTGACTGAACAAAAGTTACCGTCAGAGTCCTTACTTTGGATTTGGATTGGTACACTTGTTTTACATATGCAGTTTAGAGTGTTTAGTGTGTCTCTCTAAGTAAAGTTTTTATCAAAAAGACAGAAAAAGTATTGTCTTCCATCCAAATTTGGTTGAAAAAGTTGAAAAACGCACATAAACAACTTGTATAATTGTGTGCCACACTTAAAAAAAAAACACTGCTTATCCTATATTTTAAAGCCTATGTGTTGGATGGAGAATATAAAATGTATGTTTTGGTAGTATATTAAAAATACTGTAAAAAACATTGATCACAAATTTCCATGGGCATCGGACTGTTTGGATAGACCTCTGTACTGGTTCAGACTGTTCACAATGTGATTCACCTTTCTTTGCATTTGACAAGCGTTCACTGACTTCATCTGAAATAACAACAAAAATATACCTCAGACACCAAAGATTTTCTAGACACAAACAAACACCCCAAAACATGCTCCCACATGCAAACAAAAACATCTAAGAGTGAGAACACCTGCATGCACTTCAACAGCCATGTTCGTTCAGGTCCAGCTAGGAAGAAGATTTCACAGTTAGATAGGTGTTTATGAATTTTTAATGCACCAAGGAAGAAGTAGAGTCCAGCTGTACTTTTGGAATATTTATAAGAATATGGCATTTTATAATTGATAACCTGAGAATGCAGTTTAGTGAAATATTCATGCCAAGCTTCTTTAAAACCTTTAGGGGGCAAATCTAAGGAGAAAAAAAAAAATCAGCAGGAAACATTTCACACCATGACAAAACAAAATACATCTTCCTCAGCAACCTAACCTCTTCTCTATCATCTCCTACTGTATACTGTAAAAAGAGAACCAGTAACGTAATAATGTGTGCAACAATTTGGCTACTATTTCATGACACAAAACTATTAACTTTTAATGATCCAGACGTCTCAACTAACTACAATACCATGTGATTTGTATTGATATAAGGTGTAAATAGTTCAGAATCTGCCTGAGGAGAAAAGTCAGCTGCACTCTAGGTTTTAGAAAGTTAAACTATTAAGAGCCACCTCCCCTATTTTGTCTTGTTTTTTTATGCTCCACATAGCTCACTTTTTACTATCTTAAACAATCTATTCTTTTCAAATCCAGAATGTGTTCGCTGAGGTAAAGAAATGCAAGTCTTGGCACAATGAGTTTGCTCATATGTGTTGAGTTGCTTTTGTTTATGTACAACAATAAACAAAATTTGCATATGGATTTTTTTTATATAGGTATGAACCCATGTTAAACTATGCATTCTGCTCACTAAGTTACAACAGCTCAGCAGCAACCTGAATGAAGCATATAGTGTCTCATGTTCGCTTAAAGGCAGAGTTTTGGGGCTTAAATGAAAAAATACACCAGACATGGTTAAAAGCGGCATTCACACATCCTACACATGTTACACGTTTTACAGCTTTACGATATGATCTGTCAAATCTTTTATAGCAGCAGCATATTACACCCATTCAGTGGGCGTACATACCGGTATGTAAAGCTATGTTTGAGGTTCGGATTTAAGACATGTTAAGGCTCCTGTTGGCAAGGAATAAACTAAAAAAACAACACCTGTTGTCAAGTTCTTGATAGTTGTGACAAACTAAGAAAGTATAACATTAAAATATGCTGTATCAAATCAGATGGTCAAGACACAGACTTGTAGATGATCAATACGTAAAATATGTAACTAGTAATTTAATAATTAATTTATGTTAGAGGGGAAAGTTGTTCTAGTGATTAGTGAGAGTGTAGATCTACAGTATACATTATCCTGGCAAGGTTGCTAGGCGACCAAAGTTACACTGAGGTGAAGGCAGGACGGATGCTCCAGGCTACACAAGGGATTCATTCCCAAGTGGGGGTTGAAATTCCCAGGGTGGTCAAGAGACACTAACGGGGACGGGGTTTTCACAAGATTATTTTCAGGTCATTGTGATGTGACACTGTTGGTATATGGAGGACCAACATCATTTATTTGAAAACCCATGGAATAAATGAATGTACCATTTAATATGTTGATTTTACATTTTAGGTGGTAAACTTATTTTTTGTTGGTTTAACTATTTCAGTAGACCTAAATCTACCATGAAATTATGAAATGGACGGTTAAATAATTAAATGGCCGCAGTACATAATTATAATACATTTACAATTGTGAATAACATGGATTGTACTGTGCCGCATCTTGTGTAGACTTCCACCTTTAAAACCCCACACATAAGCTGCACCGCTGGGTTATGTGCCCAGTGTATTTACAGCTTCACAGCACTTTTTTTTTTGGCTTATGACTTCAACTTTTCAATAAATTATATATATATATATAAAGTGAGGAAGTGTTTTTGATGAGATCAAATTTCTCGAAGAATGAGGATTCAGGTGTTTACTTCACCTCTAAATTCCAAGGACATGTGTCTAATAAAGTTTCTTTGGAATAGGGATCCAAACTAGGCAGATGTTTGCAGGATTCACCTTACAACTTTCTTTACTGAGTGGATCCGCTATTAACATGTTGGTCCACATAGGAATGAATGAGGTAGAGTTATGCTATGTTCCAGCACTGCTGATGCAGATCACTATGATCACTATAACGCCTGAATTAACTTGTTAAAATGTTGAAATCTGCCGGCAGAATATGTTCGATTTTATTATTCTGGTGCCTGCAGTTAGGATTACGTACGTGAAAAATGCCTTCCAGCCATCGCAAACAGTAGCGGATAACCGCAAAGAGGTGACCAGTTGAATGGGATTTCCAGGGACAGAGCACCGCTGTATAACCACTCAAACTGCTGTTGCACGGGGGTTTGAGCGGCTCTGACAGCAAAATAATATTTCAGAATCAGAACTACTTTAATTATCCCAGAGGGAAATTACTTTTATTACTTTTGTTACACGCTCCAGTTACAGTTTGCAATTGAAGGCAGGATTGTAACTTTGATAAACTGACTGCACAGATGAAGTTTTCAGGTGGACTTTCTCACTTAAAAACACATTAAAACTATGTTTTACTCACTTATATTGCCAAACATAGCAAAGACTTTCTCTCTCTACCAGTAAACACAGGAGCAGCAGAAGCATCAGACGCATCTGGACACACTTTACTGGATGTCTGACCTTAATGTGAAGAAGTGTCAAAAATGAAGCAGCAAAATAATTGTTGCTGTTTCCAGTGGTTGCGGCCTGAACATAGCATTATTCATTAAAATAAGCAAAGCGACGCTTTTGATTTCATCTCCATTGTTACAGTCAAAGAAAGGTTAGGGTAGCTCCGTCCAGCGCGCATCAGACCCACTTTTCGACTGTGCAGCTAGAGCAGCAAAGATGCTTCAGCTGCTCATCAGAACTAAACTAGTAAAAACATCAAAAATGAAGCAGCACACACGTTTTTGCTGCTTCTGCTGCGTGCGGTCTGAACGTAGCATTAACGGTACCATAACAGTTCAATCTTTTTCTTCGTAGCAAATGATTAAACAGAAGACTATTTGGAGTAGTTTTATACCTGACTATTGTACTGATTGGGTTTCTTAGATCTTTGTCACATTCTTTTTGTGTTACCAAGCCTTTTATCTTAGTTGTTGTCTATGTTTATTTCTTGTCTGTATCACTTCTATTTTCTTAATTTTATACTTAGTTCATCCTTTTTTGTTATAGAAAACTTTATTTGGATAGAGTGTTTTCTGTCTGTATTTGGATCCTCAAACAACCATAGCTGACAACTATTTTTGTGTTAACAAATATTCATGGACCTCCTTTTTAGGAGTATATCTCAGATATATACAGACTCTGAATATTTTCAAAGATTTCTTCTTCTGTTTCAAAAGCCAGATTATACAGAACATTTTTTGGTCATTCCCATTGGATCCTCATTTGCATTTCTTTATTGAGTGAAGAACAAAACTTTTCTAGCAGCTGCACAAACTTTGCTTTCTTCCTGTTTCTCTTCTGCTCTCTCATCCATCTCCTTCACAGTCCTGACACCTGTCCTCTCCCTCTTTCCCCCACTTCACTGAGACTGACAGGCCAATCCTAACCTCAGTACACTAAATGGAAAACACCCACATCAGCTGCAGGCACACATACTTACAAGCACATAAACATATACGTTTCATGCACTGACATTTTTTAACAAAATCACACAGAAAAAAGGGCATATTGCTCGGTTTCATAATTTTCCAGCAGATACATTTTCCTGTTACTTACAGGCCCAGTCCATGAGCTACTGCTGTCATTGCATTAATTTGATACTTAACATGAAGCCAGCGTTCGTCATATAAATCACCAAACTCTGTCAGTTCCTGTACAGCCCAATTCCTGCATAGCCAGGGATTACTGAAGTCTTAAATGCCAAATTACATTCTGACAATAAGAAATCTGTCACTTGCATGTTTGTCCTTTGCTCCCTTTAGTACTTGACTTTTTAAATGAGGCAGGATGTTTTAATGCAAATTGAAGTCTAAGATGTCCCTCTCTTGGAGTGACAGCTCATATGATTTATCTTGTGAAGTCAGTTTGGATGTTTAATATGTAACAAACCCCAGGAGAGGAACCATATTGGTTCAACTGATATCAAAGCTGTATTTAGCAACATGGCTCTGCTCCCATAAAGTGTGTACTGATGAAAATATGTGTGTTTTTTTTTTATATTTGATGATGAAGCCCTTTACTTGCACACAGATCAAAAATATGAGATGGACAGTTTCTCAATTCAAATTCAATTTAGTTAAAAATTGATATGTTAATCTGCAAGAGTAATTGAATGTTGCAACTTTTATTATGGAGGTTTATTCAAAGAGTTGTTGTCAATGCTGAGGGTTATGGATAGGAAGGATCTTCTGTACTGATCTGTTTTCCGGTGGATCTGAAGAAGCCTCTGACTGCAGACACTCTATTGTGTTAGCCTCATAAAGAAGATACT